CCCCCAGCATATGGGTGGTCAGGAGCACCCATTGGGGGCGGGGCAGGGCCCCTATGTGGGGTCCAGCTCGAAGACACCATCGCTGGTGGGGGTGGTGAAGAAGGAGGGCAGGTCAGAGGTGGCAGACTCCTGCCCCCCGCTGCCCCGCTCCCGGGCACGCCTCTCCTCCAGCCGCAGGCTACGCTCGAAGTCCAGCAACTGCCCCATGAAGTTGAAGTTGGGCGAGATGTTAGACTTCTTCCGCTTGACCAGGTCATAGGCATCATTGAGCGACAGGTGGAGCTTCTGCATGAGGTAGGCCACGGTGACAGTGACAGAGCGGCTGACACCCGCCAGGCAGTGGACAAGCACCCCGCAGTTCTGGGCCAAGGCCTCATCTAAGCAGGGGCAGAGTGGGGGCCAGTGTGAGGTGCAGGCCAGTGGCCTTCTGGAGGGGCCCTCACAGCCCCCACCCCATCCTGCCCTCTAAGCTAGCTGGCCCTGGCCAGATTTGCCTGGGAGCCCTGCCTGGCCTGAGGACTCTTGGCCCCAGCACTGCCTGACCCCATAAGTGCCATCCTGGCTTTGGGCTCTGGATGTGGCAGCTAAGCCTGGGAGGAGCCCTCATGAGGGTGAGGGGGAAGAAATGGAAGAGGCCAGGAGCCAGGACTGGGGGGAGGAGGGAGAATGGGAGGGCAGGGTGGACTCACCAATGAATGCAATGGCCTCAGGAAAGAACTGGGACAAGTTCTGGCTCCAGTGGTCCGAGATGGGAATCTGCTTGTAATGAAAGTCACCGTTCTTCTCAAAGAGGTTAGGGAGGTTGGGGGTGACATTGAGGATGTAGCGGATGCCTAGCTTGGCCAAGCTCTCCACATTGGCTGAATCTCGGGCACTGCCCAGGTAGAGGTTGGGCAGGATCTGGACAGGGAAGGATGGCAGCAGCCCCGCTGGGGGTGGTGTGGCACCCTCCGAATCCAGGCCACAGCTCATGGAGTCTCGGTCAGGTTCTGATTCTGCATCCGAGCAGTCAGAGCCCAGGCACAGGCCACCCAGACCCACTACTGGGCTGGGCACCATGGCCAAACTTGATCCACCACGGCTGTTGAGGCTGGTCTCACACAGGTGAGGGCACTCAGCCTGGAATCTGCTGAAGCCACCTGGGAGGGAGAGAGGGAGGGTTCTGCTGATCTGGCCCCCTGGGTAGCCAAGTGCCCCCGGCTGGTGATAGGGAACTGACCCTAGATAGCCCCGACACCTGAGGGGGCTTGCAGATGTTCCTAAAGGGAACTCAAAAGCCAGCAGCCTGTTCTATATTGGTGTCACGGTGTGGTGCACCATGGGCTGCTCAGCCAACCTCAGTTAGTACTGTAGGATACTCTTTGGGACAGCAAGTGCCCACTGTGGCTGCTGGGCCCAGGCAGAGCCACCCAAAAAGGATCTTACACCCCCAGGACCAAGCCGAGGCAGGCACAAGGGCTCAATAGAGTCTAGATGTGCTGCTAATCTTGGGGAGGACGGCGGCCATCAGTTAAAGAAGAGAGAAGGTTCAGATGTGAGTGCTCTGCCTGGGTGTCTCCCTAGCCAGCTCAACCAGGAGCACCCTGATGGCAGGGGCCAGGTGACAACCATCGCAGTGCTCTCTTCATGGATAAAATGGGACCCTGAGAGGAGGAGAGGCTGGGAGAGTGCGACATTCTTCCTGGGTGGTTCCAAAGTCCCAAGAAGTGAGCAATTCCTTGGTCTACAGATTACTTCTATTTCCCTGGGCTGGGGTGGAGGCCTGGAAATCCAACACTGTATTTCTATATCCCTGTGCATTCAGAATGGAGCAAGGGAACACAGGCCAATGACCCTCTTCAGTGGGGAGGTGGGGACAACTGGTTCCGTAGGTTCATGGGAACCCTGTTCTTACCCTGGACCTCTGGAAGGTGTGTGTGTGTGTGTGTGTGTGTGTGTGTGTGTGTGTGTGTGTGTGTGTGTGTTGGCAAGGAGCTAACAGGCCTGTATCAGCCTGTTTCCCTTCCATCCCTCAGCCCTGCCATAGCTGTAGGGGCGAGACAGGTCTCTGCTTTCTCAGGCCTCCTTCTGCTTTCATTGCTTCTCTCTCTCTCTCTTCCCCTTCTAGAGCCTTTGCAGAGCAGGATTTGTCCTCTTGTGTCCCCTGCCTCCTTTGCCCATGGCTGAGCAGCTGGAGGAGGTGTTATTACTATCTCAGGAAGGCTGGGAACCCGCATGTGGTACTCCATTCTTGAGCATACTGTGAGCAGATCAGGTCAGCCAGATTCTCCCCATTTTCCAGACTCAGAAATGAGGCTCCCAAGGGTGAAGGACTTGCCCAAAGTCATGCTCAGGGGAGGGAATCTCACCTCCACTTTAGACCAAAAAACGGGGCTTGCTCAAGATCAAGTGAATTGTGAATTCCCTCTGAAGATGGGGGTCCTGCCTACCGGGCTGGGATTCTCCCCAGGCTGGTGCCCACCCGGCCATTGCTAACACCTACCTTGTAGGTAATAGGCCAGGTAGCCTTCCTCCCGCAGCTTCTGGAGCAGGGTACCCAGCACAGACTCGGGTTCCCACTCCTCGGCCTCGGCCTCGGCCTCAAGCTCGGCCTGGGACTCCCCGCGCCGGTGTCTGCCCCCGCCCTGATCGTACAGGAGCACTGGGGCGGGCGGGGGCGGCTGTAGTG